TATTTTTTTTGTTTGAAATTAAATCCTTTGAAAGACGTTACTTTTATGACTATAAAGTCTGTGTTTTCTTTTTTGATCTGTGTGCTTTTTGCGAATAGGTAGGTACGTTTTTGAAAGATTGGTGGACGCTAAACATAGAAAAAACTTGGAATGGCCTTACGTGAAAACAGGATAATAATTTAATACCATATATCAGATCAAAATTACATTTATGTTCTGAGTTGCATTATTTAAGATTTTTGTAAGAAGTATTAGTTTGCTGATTGCAATAATGAGTAATTAATGCTGTCATTACTTTCTACACCATCAAGTTGTCTTTGCCCTGCCTTTGGCAGATGTTTAGTCGTGTAAACATGTTTTCTTGATGTTACAGAGAATATTTGACCTTGTCACCTTAAAGTGATGTCAAGAATCATGATTTGGACAATGGACTTTCTGACTATAATGATGTGAGAAGTTTAACCTCTGGAAAATTGTGTTTAAAAGAGGATTTTTTGATATTTCAGGGGTATCGATAATTAAATGGCTGTTGCTTTATAAAACTGAATAAAAGAACAATATTATATCGTTTCTAGATCTGAAGTTTATTTTAAGTAAACAGAATTGCAAAGAAAATTTTATTTTGGGCCAAGAATGTATGGTTGACCAAATGCATAATTATGCATGAAAAAATTGAAAAGTATGATAAGTGGAGGACAATGCAGTTAGTTTAAATCAGAATATTTATACTTCTAAACATGGTGCATGTAAGCATTTAGGAATTTCAGTGTTTCTTATTGTTTATTCAATAACATCTTGTAGATTAAGGCAATAAAGAATGTGTTTAAGTGTTTATGACAGTTGAAGACTGAAAGGCATATTCTGAAATGAGTCATGAGGATTATATACAAAAACCTTATAAGATATGAGGTGAATTTTTGAAGTGCTGGCCTAATACATTCTATCACCATCACCTTATTTAAGAGATTGAAAGAATTTATAACTTTACTTTTTGGGGTGTTTTCAGACAATTACAAAGCATTTCTTCACTAATGCATTCACAAAAACCAAGGGGAGAAGGAGCGGGGTTTAGCTTCTCTATTTGCTTATTTAAATAACAGCCAGTTTTCTGTTGATGGAAGCTACAAAGGTACAGCATAGGTATGTGTATGGTTGTTTTGGTATCTGAATTCATTAAATTTGTATTGATCCAAATGAAAACTGAATCAAGGTATGATAAAAATTTATGGTAGTACATGTAATCAAAGAAAGAAGAAATTGACTGCTCAGTAAAGAATTACAAAGTATAGTTGTACTTTCATATACATGTTCTGTGAATTGCATTCCACTGTACAAATATTTCAGACCTTAACAGGTTGTTTTAACATTTGTTTCCAATGAGGTTCTATTATTTAAAAATAAAGAATTATCAGTGTATAATTTTTAGGGGTGTGTATTGGTCAAGATTTTTCAATACGATACGATACAATTTATTTTGAAACGATATCCGATATATTGGATATTAATATTACAGCAAGTAATTTCAAACAATTTTCATTCATAATTTTAAAAAACAGCAAATAAAATTGTTTTGCATTGTTTTATTTCTGAACAAAATAATGACTTGTTTGAGTAAAGTAAAGTAACAGAAAATAAAAAAAGGAAATTTTTCATATTTCAAATTTTCAATTACATGTATAATCAGATGTCAAAATTGCAAAAAAAAAAAAATGTAAGAACATGTGAAGGTAGACTTATCCTAATTGACATTAAACATGAGCAGGGTTATACGCTAATAGCCCTAATTATAATAATAATGCTTCTAGTCTTTTACTTGTTTCCATTAATGTTTTTTAGCTCACCTCAACGAAGTTGGGGGGAGCTTATGTGATACCCTCGGCGTCGGCGTCGGTGTCGGCGTCGGCGTCGGCGTCCCAGGTTAAGGTTAAGTTTTTTGGAGCAGTTTTCTTTTTAATTACTTCTGTGTCCTATACTGATTAGACATGCATGGAAGATGGTTCTAGTGTGTTTCATTGTACCAGTCAAAGTTTCAGATGCTGCAATTTCAGCAAAGGAATTACCAGGTTAATATTTTTGGAGCAGGTTAACATTTTTGGTGCAGTTTTTGGTGTGGGTTTCATTTCCAAGTAACTATAAGCCCTATGTTGACCAAACTTGCATGGATGATACATCTAAGGATGCATACTACTGGGCTTGCTTCGGATGCTGAATCTGACCTACATTTTCCGGTTGAGTGAACAGGTTAAAGTTTTTGGTGTAGGTTTCATTTCCAAGTAACTATAAGCCCTATGTTGACCAAACTTGCATGGATGATACATCCAAGGATGCATACTACCGGGCTTGCTTCGGATGCTGAATCTGACCTACATTTTCTGGTTGAGTGAACAGGTTAAAGTTTTTGGTGCAGGTTTCATTTCCAAGTAACTATAAGCCCTATGTTGACCAAACTTGCATGGATGATACATCTAAGGATGCATACTACCGGGCTTGCTTCGGATGCTGAATTTGACCTACATTTTCCAGTTGAGCGAACAGGTTAATGTTTTTGGTGCAGGTTTCATTTGCAAGTAACTTTAAGCCCTATGTTGACCAAACTTGCATGGATGATACATCTAAGGATGCATACTACCGGGCTTGCTTCGGATGCTGAATTTGACCTACATTTTCCGGTTGAGTGAACAGGTTAAAGTTTTTGGTGCAGGTTTCATTTCCAAGTAACTATGAGCCCTATATTGACCAAACTTGCATGGATGATACATCTAAGGATGCATACTACCGGGCTTGCTTCGGATGCTGAATCTGACCTACATTTTCCAGTTGAGTGAACAGGTTAAAGTTTTTGGTGCAGGTTTCATTTCCAAGTAACTATAAGCCCTATGTTGACCAAACTTGCATGGATGATACATCTAAGGATGCATACAACCGGGCTTGCTTCGGATGCTGAATCTGACCTACATTTTCCAGTTGAGCGAACAGGTTAATGTTTTTGGTGCAGGTTTCATTTGCAAGTAACTTTAAGCCCTATGTTGACCAAACTTGCATGGATGATACATCTAAGGATGCACACTACCAGGCTTGCTTCGGATGCTGAATCTGACCTACATTTTCCGGTTGAGTGAATAGTTAAAAGTTTTTGGTGCAGGTTTCATTTCCAAGGAACTATGAGTTCTTTAATGACCAATCTTGCATAGATGATACATCTAAGGATGCATACTTCCAGGCTTGCTTCGGATGCTGAATCTGACCTACTTTTTGTGGATGATTATTATGAGTGAAAATGTTAGTTTTGATGCATGTTTCATTTCCAATGAACATTTCCAATAAACTATGAGCCCTATAATGAGCAAACTTGCATGGATGATACATCTAAGGATGCACACTAATGGACTTGCTTCGGATGCTGAATTGGACATACATTTTTCAGATAATAGACAAGGTAAAAGTTATGGTTGCAGGTCTATTACCAAAAACTATAAGGCTTATATAACATTGTATAAACCAAACTTGCACAAATGCTGCATCAAGAGATGAAAACTCTCAAATTTGCTCCAGATGCTGGATTTTCATTACATTTTCATGAAGAAGAAGTAGTTTAAATTTTTTATGTAGGTCTATTTCAAAGTATCAGATCAAAATTGCTTTTAAAAATATTTTCATTTTTGGAATGTATACTTTTTGTTGGTTAATTGTGTGACTTTGCCTTACTTGAAGACAACATTCGTTGAGGTGAGCTCTGTAATCTCTGATTACCTATGTTTAAGAAATGCAAGGGCTGCTGGGCATTTACATTTTCAGGGCCTTAGCAGGCTGTGAAGCTGTAAAATTGTGTGTGAAACATTTATTTTATAGTTCAATGGTTTTTTTTTCAATGTTTTAAATGTGGAGTGAAAAAAAAATTGGCAAATGTTTAATACTGATTGATAATGAAAAACCAACTAGATCTTGGCTTTACATCTCCACCGCCAACTTCTTCAACTTTTCCAACTGAAGTCAAAGTCATAGCACTGTTATTATTGTGATCTAACAACTTTATTTTTGTGGAACATTGGGATAACTTGACAGACTCTTCAGGCTTGATCGTGATTTGGTGGTGTCGTAAAAGATAGACGGACCATCAAATTTGTTGTACCTCCAGATGTTGCAACCTTCTCAGTGAGAATGTCTCACAACACAACATACATTTTGCAAGCTTTTGTTCTTTCGTAAAATATTCCCACACTTTACTCATGCATCTGTAAATAATAATTTTAAGTATTTCGATCCCGACTTTAAAAATGTGTTCTTCAAACCCAACTTTATATCGACATATCGTCACAACACTGTATTGTATATCACTCGACAGGCTTATACCAGTACATTTTAATATATCGATATATTGATTCACCCCTAATAATTTTATATTTAGCATATTCAGGAATTGTATAACACAGTTCCTGAAAAGGTAAATTGAATACAATGTGATAATAATATTGTAAATCATTAGTAACCAGGATATGGTACACACTAGTTTAGATAGGCTTGCTTGAATTTGTGTATATTCCCTATTGAGTATTGAGTTAACAAGAGATTAAAGATTGGAGGTTATGTTTTTTCATTGAAAATTTTAATTACTTTAGACTCAAGCCACTGATTAGGTTTTGTAAGGAGATTATGCACATGAATGTGCAGAGTGAATTTTAGAAGTGTGTAGGAGGGCTTTTATAGCTGTTCTGTAGAGAAATAAATTAAAAGTGAAAGCTTTCAGAAGATCACTTTGAGCAAACTGTTTGTATGAAATGCTTTTCTTATGTACAAACTTCAGTTGACATATTCAATCAAGTAGGCTGTTTGGTTTTGACATATTTAAATATCTTTAGAGCTTGTGCTTTTGTGAAAGATTGGAAATAAATGACCTTTAATAAGAGGGTAGCCCTCTAATTGTATATATGGGGATCCCCATTGTTTGCGTTTTGGACGCCATCCAGATTTAAAAAAAATTTGTCTTCCTGCAGTACAAATATTAGCCAGGTCTATTTCCCCTCCATTTTGGAAATAATATTACATTAGTGCTTGAAGCAGCTCTTTTGGGAAATAATGCTGATGACTCAACAGTGAAAGCAAGACATTAGGACATTGGTGGTTCTCTCTGTCTGGCAGTCCAAAGTAAGTGTGGGCGGTGATCAGATGATAATTAGAAGTTAGAGGGAAACACGGCAAATATGACATTTGTTCCTTTGGAAGCTATTTAGCTACGTGTAATACATATTTAATATATAGCTATATATATAGCTAAAGTGGAGATTTTTTATAGATTATAAGAATTTTATATCAACACAAGTGTCATTATATGGCGTTCAATCATTTGCAATCTATAGCGCCCGGGGGAAGAAAAAGTAGGCCAGTTTATTTAGTAATATTAAATTAAAATATTTACATTGCCACTGCTCGTGTGTTTTAGATTGGATTTGGTGTTCAATAGAATATTATGTCAACTTTGTGTAATTTGGCATATCAGAATCTATCCATGGTGAAATGGTCGATTGCTATAGTCGCCAGCTGTAACATTAATTGGTACTTTGTAATAAAACGTTAAATACTTAATTCAGGTGTAAACTCTTTCTGATCCAATTTAAAAATAAAAGAGAGAAATATTGACTTTACAGTGATAACCACATCATGTTTAAGTAAATGTTAATTTGGAATATGTTTAAATGAATTTAAAAAATTAATTCTAAATGAATTTTATAAGGTAGAAATTGTCAGTTTGTAGTGCATAATCAAATATAATAGGTATTTTTATCATTTTTGCAAAGCAACCTTTATATTGCCATTTCTATAAAAGGAAATTAAAACATGATTGATCATTGATCCTTCATTTATTGCTCAAACATGATTGTTAAAGATTCTGTATCTTGAATTTATTGAATCTGATCTTGGCAAGAATTGATATATACCATGGTACAAGTTTAGTTAAACTTAAACACATATTCCAAACAGGTGAATTTGTTTTGTACCCTATACCTGATAACAAACTGAATACTGGAATGTAGTACAGTTGAATTAAAGGAAAGCTTATCTTTATACTTTTGATTATTGGGGAATTCCAATTCTGCATTGGGAGGAATTGGATGGACATTCCTCTTCACCCTATGACCCAAACTTTTGATGTCCATTTATGTATAGTATATTTTGTTTTAAATCAGCAGTCTTTCTGTATATACTTATTAGTGCTAAAAAAAAATGTATTTTACATATCATATGGACATTATGATTTCTGAGGAATGCACTTCCATCAGTCGTAGATTGGGGATTTCTAAATAATCAAAACTACAAGTTGATCATTGCTTTTCTCTGATTGGACTACATTTCAGTATTCAGTTCATTGACTGCTTTTTTTCCCCTTTTCAGCACATTTTGCATTGTATAGGGATGGGCTTTAATCATCTACTTTTCTCAACTTCTAGAACAATGAAATTTTTTTTTATTGATTGCTTGTATTTTTTGTTGAAACTAACTGAAAAATATTATATCAGAGAGAAAATCCAGCTTTATTTTTAGGTGCTATAGCTTTTAAAATACATTTTGTATCTTAATCGGATTAATAATAACAACAAGATTGTCTTTGTGCTGCAGAAAATTATGTTGCTAGTTTACAGAACACAGTTTTATTTATTCGAAATGCCAGATGTGATGATTCTTTGAAAGTTAATTAATGTACAAGTCATGATTTTACATACCTATTAAGTAAAAGATATTTCTAACAATTTAAGGTAAATATTCTTTACTGAAAGTATTAAAACATGAAACTAACTAACTCTGAAAGTATTGGAGAACAGTATAATTATTTATTCCTCACTGACTTTGTTCATTCCTATTTTTAAGGATACATTAGTGAAATTTGAAGCTGATCCTATTGAGGAGTTATATCTTTTGTATGAAGGAAAACTCTTTTGAATAGATAATTTTTCAAAGTAATGGAATTCTTGATTTAAAAAAAACAATGTGCTTTTTGTTAACTCTTCTTTTAATTTTCCAAAACCGAATGGTTGTAACTTAACTCTTGCTTCACACTGGCATTCACAGCAATATAACAGTGACCATTCTGTCATATGGTTCTACAGTCAAAGTTCGGGAAAAGAAACCCCTTATCATAGTGGAGTGCTTTATCACCATCATTTTTGATGTCAGTATATTTGCCAAACTTTGAACAGTATTTGCAGAGTTCTTAAAACATCAATACTTTGAAACAATACCCTCTCCTGCTTTCCCTCACACAGAATGAGTAAAAGCTTTTTAATGACAACAACCAATCTGTCAACCACCTAAAGCTTGATAAGTGATTTTTTTTTTCAAGGTTGCTTTAACAATTTGAAGAAATCAATTTTATTTCGTATCTCAGTTAAACACAGAACTGTGAATTTTCCATTCTTGAGAATTTTTTTTGTACTTTGAATAAATGTTATTCTGGATGGAATAATGATTTTAAAGATAACATTACTTTTGAAATCTTTTTGTGTGTTAGGCCGTCTAATGATGTAATAACTTAAAACCCTGTTGAAACACTACCCCCTATGGCATTGCTTTTCTTCTCAGAATTAAGTGTTATTTTCACAAGTACTAGGTGTTCTTAAAACCGTTTGTCCCTTAAGGGGTCTTCTAATTGTTTACCTTGTCAGATAATGGTTGAACCATGTACGGAGGTAGAGTACATATAAGATGTTTGCACATTTGTCCTAAAAAAGATTAAAGTTTTGAAATAATTATTTCAAACCATAATTGTATGACAGAGTTGTGCTTGCTTAAGAGGTAAGTGAAGTAATTTTATATCCCAATAATGGCTTAATTTATTTAATCTTTATGGAGTAAGAAGTTTGTAATTCTTTAATCTGTATTAAGGGCTTTAAGGGGTCTGTACAAACAGACCATGCGACCTTGTGTATTGCAGTAAATGACTAATTTTGTTTCATGACGTATGCACATACATTGTGTATACTAGGTCAAATGTTGTCTTTTTGTGACCACACTCGTATCTAATGATTTTAAAGGGTCTGGCATATTGCCCTGCGTGAAACGCTTGTGCTGAGAAATTATCGAGTAGTAATAAAAAAAGGCCCTACAACTGGTTGTTTGTAGTACTTTTTAAAATACCTTTGAAAGGCATCATGAACTAAAACGTGAGGTACAGGCCATTTGATTAAGTGAATAGATGTGATAGATATATATATATATATATATATTTCTAGATTTATAACCTTCGATTGGTAATTGAAGTCAATTAAACCACTTCACCAAGACTTGATGTTACTGGTATATGGAAATCGGTCGTTGAATTTTTTGTGCATACTTGGCTAGAGGCCATAATTGTTTATTCGACACATGGAAATCAATGAAGTGTGTTGGATTAGAGGAGAATTTTTGTGGATTCAGTTATTTGAAGGTATCGCAGGTACCCGATAGCAGTACGAGTTTTCAGACCATACACAGAGAAAAAGAGCCTGTAATCTGATCGTAGCAATAAAACAGTCAGGGCACATTGATTTTTCTCATCCCTCTGCTAGTTGCTGAGGCCCAGAAGTATTTTTGTGCTGGAACTGAGGACTGCGATTCCCACTCTGACCGGCAAAAACAATTATCCTGGTGAACCACTGTATTATTGAACATGATTGTTTTATTATTTCAGGTGTGATTGTGGAAAAAATACCATGAATTATGGAGGACTATCTTCGGTGTGTTAGTGTAAGGGCACTCGAAGACTACATGTCTTGACCACGATGAATATGACTGTACCTAAGCATCTCTGTGATAACCTATGATTTTTTTTCCTTGGGAGCAATGTCATCTTTTGTGGCACGAGAGCTGTTCCCTCAGACTGTGGAAGGCACTTCAGTCTTGACCATGGATATTCTCGCTAAGAAGTTTCGGGAGCAGACGTTGGAAGAATCCAACAAACAAAATTCATCACAAATTAAATTTGTAAGTATCTTAATTTACATTTTTCCTGCCTGTAGAGTTCGGAAGTTTTATTTGATAAAATAATTAGATTTGTAACCGGTTTCTCTTCTGACTCAATTTATTTATTTTCTAAAATAAAAATGTATGTCCCAAATGTTTCCAACTTTTGAATGACATTTGAATGCTGGATTCTTGAGTAAAATTTGTTGGATATCTGAATGTATATTTTTTTATTGATAAGCTTCAACATATTTGTGAATAGGTGAAAACATGTGTATAACACATGCAGTACTAACTGAACCAAGTGGCAGATATTTCCTTAACATGAGTTGTGACCCATAAAAATGAATATCTACCATCTCAAATGTTTTAACTTGTTAAGCATAATAAAAAGATTTGTTCCTATCATATAATGTAAAGAAGATCCGAATAAAAAGACCTTTGAGGTTGGTTTTAAAGAGCTTGCATTGATCATTGTAAACCTAATCATACAATGTCTATAGCTCTAGACCCTTGTTCACCCTTATGACACATGCGTCTTATTATCTCAGTTTGCAATCATGTATATTATTAAAAGATATTATCACTTGTGACAATGGTGTTCTTCTAATCATTATCTTGAATTCCACTCCTTGTAGGGCAATTACATTGTTTTTCTTTAGGGTATCATATTGATATATTTGAGAGGGAAAACTGTACCTGAGTGCGAGTTTCATATTTCAGTGATTATGTATATACTTACTGATGATAAAAATACTTCATACAGATGAAGATTATTTCAGTTCTACGCTTGAACTTATTTTCTGCAACACAAAACCTGACAGGTATTCAGGTGAGCACTTAGGTTACACAGAGAGCAAAGATATCTAACACATTATGCAAAGACAGTCTTCCCTTTGTGTATCTTGAACTTGTATCTCCTCTCCAGAACATAAAATGTAAATTGCTCCTACACTTAGAATATTTTAAGGAAAGGTATTCAACCGAATATTTTCTTAAATGCATTGTCTTTATGCTGACCTTTGAAATTCTGTCAATTTTCAGCTCAGACTCGTGAAAATCTACTTCATGAAAATTTAGTGTTCAGTAGTAGACCAAAAATTCAAAGTAGAGTTGAAGTTTGTTTGAATGGAAAAGGTGTGTGTGAATTTTTTAAAATCTTAAATGCATTCTGAAGGTAAATGTACATTTGTTAATATAAAAGAAGAATATGAAGAGTAATAAATATTAATACTGGTATTAAGTCAGTTAGGATCCTTATTTGAAACTATTTAAAGCTAAATCCATGCCAAATTTATTATCATATACAGTTGAACTTCGGAATCTCGAACTCTGATATCTTGAATACCATGGATATGTCGAAGTGATTTCGAAGTCCCAACCACATTCTTTAAGTATTTAACCTTCGATATCTCGAATCATCGGATATATTGAAGATTTTTGTCAGTCCTATCAGGTTCGAGATAACGAAGTTTGACTGTAATATAATAAAAAGCACTACTCATGAAATAAACTTGAGTGGGCATATTTTATCAAGTCGATGAAATATTTGTTATTGTCTCTTGATCAACAGTCCATTGGCAAAGACTTTACATTCTCACAATTTTGAGGACTATTAATAAAGGAGTCATAAAGTAAAACCACTGGAATTTACAGTACTTTTTTCAAATCTATCTTCATATTGATATATGATGTGTCTGAAATATAGGTTTCATGCCCTAGCTATGTTAAAATACACTATAGTTCAATGTAAGGGAAAAATTATGTTTAAAATCATTCTAGGAGTAACATGAGATTTTCATACTAAAAACAGAGCTGTTATTCACTGAGACATGAATGGTTACTGGGGCAAAAATGGTATATACCGGTACTCAAATGCAGTAAAAGATATTGATTTTTTTTTAGTAAACACATAACCTCTCTTTCTGTCAATAAAAATTGGCCTTGAATCTTTCACCTGAAAAAGAAAATTAGTGTTGCATATGATTGAATATCTAAGGTGTTGGCACAGAGTAAAGATATATCTATGCCAACATTATTTTATTAATTTCTCTTTCAGCATTTGTGTTATGTGTCCTTTGATATTTGAGTTTTAAATCAGTCATGGTAATCAATTTTTTTCTTCATAATAGGTTGTATTCTCAATGGTATATTTGCTGGCAATATTAGGTAAATAAGAGAATATATATCTATATAGAAGATAATGACATTTTCTGAAGGTGTTCTATTCTTTACAGATCCGTCCCGGGGAAGGTTTTAGACTTAGTCGCAATGCTGAAGCCAGGCTGGCAGGGGCAGGTAATACACTATATTAAGGAATATCATATGTGTATTATCTTTCACATGTTGTTTCATTTTCATCATACATTTCTATGTTCAAGTTATCATACCACAATTGTATGTTTCATATGATTGCCATAGTACATCATATATTAACAGCTATGCCACGGATGTGCTATTGTTCACTCTGTTCAATTGTGGAATAGTAATTTTAAGGACACCTGTCCACGGGTTATTAAGCTAATCTACTGTAACAGTTTTTTTTTGGCCTGCCTCTGTCAATCTTTAAAATTTTTAGCATTTCAGACATATGTTCAGAACCATGCACTCCATTCACTGGTCAAGTTTTTTTTTTTTTTCTAATTAAGAATCACCCTCTTCTATGAAAAGGAAAATTATTTAAACAATTTTTTTTTCAAATATAAAGGGGTAATTCAGAAATGGTGGTGATCAAAATCACTGGAGTAGAAAAGCTAAAATCATGTTTAAAAGTTGAATTTGAAAATTAGAAAGAAAAAAAGGTTCTTTATATGTGAGTTCGTACATATGGCAGAGAATTGGACTGAGGAGAGTAGTATACCCTTTAGTCTAATTATGCATTTTACACAAGGTATGTGTTAGGTTAGTGCTGGGATTTTACACCAAAATGTGTCTGATTACAAAATACAGTGAAAAAAGTATGTATTAAAAATTAATTATGTATATGTGTAATATCAATGTACACACCATTTACAAGCTTATATCGTCAAAACTCATCTCTAACTTGGAGTGAGAAAATACTGCTGACATTCTGAGGATTCTAGACATAGAGTAAAATAATTGGTCTGGACTTCTAAATGACAATGACATATCCATGGAATTTAAAAAATCTGGATAAATTGAGATACTGAAGCGTAAACAGTGGGGAAAAGGGGGGATAAATCATGGTATATAGCTATCTTCTAATTTGGTTTTTGCGACTATTAATGCTGAGTTTTGCCGATGATGTGCAATTGGAGTTGTTAAAATGGATGTTTTCGATCAGCATTAAACGGTCGCAGATACCAAATTAGAAGATAGTTATTCCCATTCTAATGCAATCTATGCATTTTGTTTGTTGCATTGTTTACATTTATTTTGTTGAGTTTTGTTATATGAAATCAGAGAAATATGTTTTTGTATGGCTCTTTAATGATGTCACAATGAAAATCTTTCACTCTCATTAATGCTCTTATACTGCCTCAGACATTGGTGCATTAATTAGACAATCCAAATGTGTTTTACAAAACACTTGCATTAGAATGTGACCTTGACCCCCTCTCTAGTGACTAATTTTAGACCATTTCCAGTTCAGTATCGATGCTGCTTTTGCAGTGTTATTAAAGACACTTCATATGTTTTACAAATGCACTTTACACAAAAGTAAAAATGAAAAGAAATCTAATGAGTTGCACAAACAGAATTCATTGAACATATATTGCTGGTACTTTAAAGAGGTTATATAGGTTGAAGAGCTTAAAGTAGATTAGATTAAATATGGGTATTTGTTTGGAATTTTTTTTATATACCTATAGTGGAGATATTAAAAAAAAAAGACACATACACACACAAACAAATTTAAGTGATAAATGTTTCATAAACTACTATTTTAATGAAAAAAAATAATGACTATACAACTGATATGATCTAAAAATCTCTGTGCTTCCTATTGGACTGTACTGTTAGTAACTCATCAAGTAAGTTCTAACTTTTTGTTTCTGAAAGGGAAAATGGACATAAATGCCACTGCTTATTCCCTTTTTTGTAAGTAAATCAGATAATATTCAGGAATCAAACATGATACAATCAGTGAATATCAATAAAACCAAAGGGGATTTTTTAAGAAGTACAAGACATATTAAATTATGTAAAAGTAAGGTTATTTATGTCTGAATTAATCCACCAAACATGGTAATACCGAGGTTATAGCAAAAGATTATGGCACCAAGTCTCATGTTACCAATTTAGTGTTGCTATAGATGCATTGCAAGACAAAACAGAATTCATTTGCTTACAAATATGGTAAAATCATATACAGTAAGTCACAAAACAAATAATTCAAGGATGAAGGAATAGATCATCATCAAAACACTGGTCACAAAGGCATGAAAATGGAATTTGAATTTTTTTTTAAGTACATGTATCTTCATTATGCAGGATTAGTTCGATTTCAATTATCAGTAAAATGGCACTTAATTGTGATAAAAAGTGTACAAAGATCCCAAACATGGTGTCTGATTCTTTGGTTTAAAAAAATGAAATTAAAAAAAAATCTAAATGATTTATTAAAACTTGACTGAAGTGTTGATTGTTCTACATTAAACTTGACATATCATGTTAGATAATGAATTTGTGTCTTAATGTGGGAGGCTTTTTACCATTGAAACTACAAAAATTATATATTGCTAGGAAACTTAATAATTTCACATTAATAGAAAGTAGGTCACCGTGACCAAATTTTTGGTCGTCACTCTCCGAATACCCAAGATGCATCAACTCACAAAGTTTGATGATTCTAAGCCAATAAGTACCAGAGATACTTAAATATAACCATAAAATGTCGAAAGTAGGTCACCGTGACCTTATTTTTTGGTCGTCACTCTCCGAATACCCAAGATGCATCAACTCACAAAGTTTGATGATTCTAAGCCAATAAGTACCGGAGATACTTAAATATAGCCATAAAATGTCGAAAGTAGGTCACTGTGACCTAATTTTTGGTTGTCACTATCCGAAAACCCAAGATGCATCAACTCACAAAGTTTGATAATTCTAAGCCAATAAATACCTAAGATACTTAAATATAGCCATAAAATGTCGAAAGTAGGTCACTGTGACCTACATTTTGGTCGACATTTTTCAGAGTCCCAAGATGCATCTCCTGACCAAGTTTGATGATCTTAGGTCTGAAGGTAATCAAAATATGCCTTTTAAACAATTTGAAAACATATGCCTGCAAAATTCTAAAAGTAGGTCACAGTGACCTACTTTTTCTTAAATATGTTTTAAGGTCCCAAGATGCAGCAACTTACAAGATTTGATGATTCTAACCCTTTCAGTGCCTGAAATAATGGGATTAAATGTTTTAAATAGGTTAAGTCATAAAGTTCAAAAAGTAGGTCACGGTGACCTACTTTTAAGTTGACGTTGTTCAAGGTCCCAAGATGCATCAACTGACTAAGTTTCATGATCATAGGCCTAAAAGTGTCCAAAATATGCCTTCAAATCAATTTGAAAACAAATGCCCGCAAAAATAAAAAAGTAGGTCACCGTGACCTACTTTTGAGTTAACGTGATGTGAAGTCCTAAGATGCATCAACTTACAAGATTTGATGATCCTAGTCCTTATAGTAAGCAAAATATAAACATTTTTATTAATTGTAAATTTAGGTCAACTTTAAAGTGACCTTGAGACCACGCCCTTTGCCCCAGGGTCATGCCTTGAACAATTTTTAATCTTCAACATATCCTAATCCTTGTATGTAAGTTTGGTGAAAATCTGCCTGGCGGTTCTGGAGAAGAAGATTTTTTAGCAACTAGTACTTTTGGTTTTGTTTTCCTGATTATCTCCCCTTGTTTTAGGGTCCTAACCCTTATTTTAGTATAAATGGTAGCCCTTGGGCCAAGGATACCCTGTGGCAAATTTGGTACTGATTGGCCAAAGGGTTCTTTAGTTATGGCCCATATTCTAAAAAGTTAACGCACACCGCACACCGCACACCGCACAAATGGCCATAGCATTAGCTCTTTGAGCCTTTGGCTCAGAAGAGCTAAAAATAGAATTTCATGTGAAATTTCTTAAAACCGCTACTCCTTCTACAGTTTTTGTCTGATTTCAGTATAACTTGGCACACAAGTAGACTACACTAAGATACATAGAATAGTGCATCGTTTTTTGATTTAGATGAACGGTGTTGCCATGGTTACTAAAAATAGAATTTTCTGTGAAATTCCTTTAAAACGCTACTCCTTCTACAGTTTTTGTCTGATTTCAATATAACTTGGTACACAAGTAGACTACACTTAGATACATAGAATAATGCATCGGTTTTTTTTATTAAAAACGCTACTCCTTCTACAGTTTTGGTTTGATTTCAATATAACTTGGCACACAAGTAGACTACACTAAGATACATAGAATAGTGCACTGGTTTTTGATAAGTACGAACCAGTAGAGCTACAGTCTCGACAGAGACTTCTGGTTCATTTAGATTTCCGTATGTTTAAAAAAGACAGGATAGACAATTTTCTATAAGCTTCTATTCATTATACCGGTAAGTGTTTGCCAAAGCATTTTTTTTTCTACATAACCAAAATACATCTTTGTTTTTATGGTAGCATAGTGAAAACCGACTAGCCATGTTATTTTGTAAAAGAACATGTACCAGGGTACATGTAAATATTTTTTTAGCTCTACTGGTCAGAGACCAGAGGAGCTTATGCGATAGTAATGCGTCCGTCGTCCGTCCGTCTGTCTAGCTGTCTGTCTGTAAACAATTTTCCAAAATGCTACTCCTCCTACAGTTTCGGTCTGATTTCAGTATAACTTGGCACACAAGTACACTACACTAAGATACATAATTCTGTATATCGGTTTTTGATTTTGATGAACAGTGTTGCCGTGGTTACTAAAAATAGAAATTTCTGTGAATTCTTTCAAAATGCTATTCCGAATACAGTTTTTGTCTGATTTCAATATAACTTGGCACACAAGTAGACTACAATAAGATTCATAATTCTGCGTATCGGTTTTTGATTTCGAAGAACAGTGTTGCCGTGGTTACTAAAAATAGAAATTTCTGTGAAATTCTTTCAAAATTCTACTCCTCCTACAGTTTTTGTCTGATTTCAATATAACTTGGCACACAAGTAGACTACACTAAGAACATAAAGAGACTTAATCAAGAATCAATTTATTTATTGAAAAGTTTTAATTCCCAACTGCTTTTAAGTACTTTTCTCTTCCTTTGCTATAATTACAAACCAGTAGAGCTCCAGTC